CGATAAGACAATGTAACTCGGAACTCAGGCTAAATAGAAGCAAGCAATGTCCCTTTCTCATATGGGAACCAGATTTATAACAACGGGCAAAAAATACGAGCATCTAACACATACCATCCAGTGCATGTTTATGTATTAAAGACTGTGTATCTTACATCTTCCTGCTCTCGTCGTTGAAGGAGACTAAAATTGACAATCTGAAGAATCGAGAGAATTTACCACTGTGTACGCCTTTCTAACATTGACAAATGTATACTTAGTGTACTCCTAGCTGTTCTTGTGTCCCTCGTCCTTTTTTCATCTGCTATGAGTTCCTTATTTTGCTGTGGTGTCTCGGTGACACTTGTCGTCAAACGATTTCACAAGAAAAATTGCCAACTAAACACGTGAATAGAGACAACGGATTTAATTACTGTGAATGCAATTATCTTCCACTTATAAACATATTTTATGTATAACATGTGATGTATAACACTGTCAACTTTTCATTAAGGTATGGATCAAGAAATAAGTTTTGTTAATATCCGCAAAATAACTTGCATCCATTTTCAATGTGTTTTGTGATGACAGATGCAATATGATTAAAGATAACAGCGGATGGAGAACATTTCTCATTAATTATTTACTTTATATTGGTAAATATTCAATGTGTATATACTTATATAGAGTGAATCCGCCAAATTAAAAACCAACAAAGAAATAACAGCATGTCAACAGAATGTTAATTTAATTCGAAGTTAGTGCGAAATATGTACAAAAGAAAGATTTACACGAGCAACCACGGAAAATTAGACGGAGAATAAAAAATCCCTGTGCTTAACAGAAATCTACTTACCAATAAAACGTTTGCTTGGATTCCAAGTCTAACAATATCTTCTGCAAACAGTCTACAGACACAAACATAACCGTTTCTTGTATCTCTGGCTTCACATGTATCAGCTTCACCATGAAATACTGTAAATGTTATTTTCGCTTGGTTCTAATTTTCGCGGTTGCATTTGAACAGTCAAATATAGTTCCAGGGAAGATTTATTCCAATGTACATACACAAAGTATTTACTGTATCGAATTATTCTATTCTCCATCTACCTATTGATTCTGGGAGCCATCTAAATTAGGTAAAGACATTTTGATTAAACACTACAAATATATCTTGAAAAATATGACTTACACTAACTTTTGGAGGTAGGATCTCGTTAGAAACTGTAGAACAATATAAGACTGTTCTGTAATATGTTCCTGCAACATCGATAGCACGAAAAACTGATCCCACAGAATTGTAAAATTTTCTTTAACCACGAAAAATTACCTTCGTTGGGGACAACTTTTACAGAACAAAAATAATAATTTAACTACCCATTATCACTGAGTTTTAGTAGGAGGTATGAGACTGTCGTCCCTTGAAAAGCAATGTTTCGGAACAGTAATGTAACATAGTATTCATTACATAATTGAGTTATGACTACAAGTTGAATAACACCTGGAGGAGGTGTTATTGGGTGTCGGATCCAACCTGCTTCAACTTTACCGGATAACAAATTTGTCAGTACGTTTCGACTAAATCAGTGACAGATTTGCAAAAACACACGAAAGAATAACACATTTTTCTATAAAGTTAGAGTTAAATGATACAGTCGAGCCAAACAATGAAAAGGCATGCGAAATACAGATACTTCGTCCTTCTAAGACTCATCAATGAGACACAGATTCGTCAAAATGTCGAACTTTTACATCTCAATTTATGCAATATTTTATGTAATATCACAAACAATAACGATCATGTGACAAACAGAATTCCCATTTCGTAAAATTCCACGTGAGGTTTCATCTAACATACCAAATAATGTCTAACATACGGAAGGCAGGGAAACTGATATAAAATCCTCAATATGACTGTTACACAATGTTAGAGATGACTGTGACTATACCAAGACACGGCTTTAACGGGAAATGTTTTTATATCCATGACATCAATAAAATGGGTATTTTATAACTGTGTAGGATAATTCATCAGTGAGCTGTGGTTTGTAATACTTATATTGTGTACGTTTCCCGGTCGCTATAAATACATATACAGTAAATTATAGTGATTTTTTTTGCTTCACCTTAAGCACGTTTTGCAATTGGTGTATAAACGAACACTTGGAGAAAAGATTTTAAGATTAAAATTCTTTCAGGTCACTCCCCATATTTCATATTCTTAATGTAGCGTTGATGCAAAATGCATAAAGAACTATCATTACATGATATCATTTATAAAATGACCAAATAGAGAAACATGGTACAATATTCTTATACTGCAAATTTGTTTATTTCTGCGGGGGTCATTTCACGATTTCAATAGGCATGGGGTTATTTCCACACCAATGAACCTCCGCATAGTTGATGTATATTTTCATATGTATGTAATACGTCACAAATTAATAGGCATGGCTGAAATTAACGCGGCCGAATGACTTCCGGGTATTTAGTGTAAATTTACCTCATGTGTAGATATCCACGTTTATGTAGTTTTGCACAAATTTAGACAAGTATTTATTCACGTAGGCAGTGATAATTCGAACCATTAAAATGAATTAACATGGATATATATTTCTTACGAACGAATACATTATCGATAAATAGCCAATCCGCCGCAAAGATCAAACATAAAATCGCGGATAGATATGTAAGATGTAATTTGGCTAGTTGCTCTCTCTGTAAGATATTTATTAGATTACCAAGTGTAGATATTATGTTGATATTAAAATGCAGGTTGATGGAAATTTTGAAGGTGAGGGTTTTACAGTTGTCATACTCATCTCATTGGGAAATATCAGATTATTATCGAAATATGAAACAATATAATTTACACGGAGAAACCTGAATAATTAAGGAGAATGAAACCAGAATAAGATCGCTATGATGGCCGACAAACCTGCACCTCTAAAAAAACGGTGCTATGAGTTTATAAGTTGACAAATCCTGGAAATCAGGGAATTGAATATCTAAACAACATGTAAACACCATAGGTTTTAGTTGCAGAGTTGTAACTGTCCAGAAATGGAAAATTCAATTACAATTATCAGACAGCTATGTGGAAAGCCGACCATGTTGGTTTCGTTGTAGGTAAAGATCGTTGTTATTTAAACACGACGTCATCAATTTGTCTAAAAGAAAAAAAATGAAGGACTTTGCGAGGCCTCTTTGATCTGTTTTGATAAGCTATTCGGTAAGTTCAGACTCGTATGAAAACAAAAACAAGGCAGGGAACAGAAGGCGCAGTTAAATCTCATATGTATGTCGGCTGATTATCATGACGATTATTTTAATGATTGTGTCCTCCGTATATTTCTTCTTTGCTTTTGGCGTGTTTTTCACTTTATACGCTCCATTACAGTACAGAACCTAAGACTTTTAACGCCATCCCTTTTAACAACATTATATACAGTGTGGTTGGACACAAGTTATTACTTCTGCCCAGTCCTGAAACGTAATATAAAATATGATAACATTAATATATTATACTCAAAAGATAGAATATTCTTTAATTAAGGGAAGGTAACAGAACAGGAAAATTGTATGTTTAATGATATATGTTTTTTTATAAAGTATTTGTTATTTATATATATGATTTGATTGCAAATCTAAGACCTTTTCTGATCAACAGTTTGTATAATGCATGTTCCCACAAAGTGCAACTGGTTTCTACAGTTAACGTACATTCAGCTGGCTGACATAAAATGTTTAACGATACAGGATCAACAGTGATAGCGTATCACAGATTATTACACAGTAAAAAAAATATATAATTGTATTCAGAACAACAAATATCAACTTGCATATGATCAGGAATCCATTACCGAAGTCAAATATAAAGATAAAACATGTTAACAATGTTGCGCGCAAAGGGCAGCAACTCGTGAACATAATATTTTGCTTGTAAGGGGAAATAACTCGCACAATCTTGTTACAGTTTGCAGTATGTGTCCTTTGTTTCACGAATTCGAGGATAAAAATATGTACATGTTTGTCTTTAATAAACGGTAATTAGATAAAAAGGAGAAAAAACATCGCATCTATGGAGCATTAACAGAAATGATTATGGGGTTGTTCTCCTTGTACGTTTTCAGAAATCTTTTATTCATATTTTGCCATAGTTTTGTTGAATTTAAACTTGGATTATGAGTATGTTGACATTTTGGTATTTTCCTGTTGTTTTCTGCATTTTCCTCTGGCTAGGGAAGAAACTTTCTCCTTTATTACCGTGTAATCCACTACATCAGTATAATACCGACCATTTTTTTTACTACAAGGCAGGATTCACGTCTGCTGTTTATTTGGAACAATGCTTAATTGCTGTGTTATACGTCTTACAATCAATACAATGTCTGCAGTAAAATGACGATCTACTGTGTAGTGACTAATCCTTTTCCTGTAGTATCATCACAGCATGTAGTGTTCATAGCACATTCAGTTGTTCAATGTATTCTTATAATGAAAAAAATACTGAAAAATTGTCATCCTTCTTAGAAAACCGGAATTGTATTATTGACAGAGAGGAGGTAAAAACAGTTCATTTCACAACCATTTTAGAAACAGAAACAATTTAACTTGAATATCTAATAAAACATTAGTGATTTTCTGCTATAATGCTACAGTGATCTGTAAGGTAGTCCTGTTTGATATATTTTTGCTAACATGAAAGTGAATATTTCAAGGCCAACACAAAAAACGTGGTTTCTTAAAGTGATAATTCGACATTATGTAACGAGGAGTTTACGAGCAAACTTTATTACCTTACTTTGTCGGCGTGTTCTCGTTAGCTTTGATGTTTACTTAGATAACAATAAATCTTTTATCGTTTGACGCGTCGATGTTCATTAGGTGAAAGCATGGATATTCCGTCCGGTTAATTGTTTACATAATGAAATCTGGAGGGAGATGATATACCACATTATATTATATATAAATGTTCCATGGAAACCTAGTTTGAAATAAAGATCTTAAGATAACAAGAATGTTTTTTTGTCTTCAATTTTATTGCTCATTTAACAAACACTTAATGTATAGGTACATCTTAACGAAATACTGACAGTGGCGATGGTTCTATGATGTAAAAGTATCACTTCTTGAGTACCATGATAAACAGGTCTCATACCATCTGAGCCACAAAAATAATAGTCTACATTTGTCTGAAAGATAACAAAACAACCAATGAACAAAGGTTGGTCACAAAAGACAATGCTCATCAAAACAGATTTACAGAAATAAAAGGAAATAGGGTAATTCTGTCATAAAATTAAGATATACGTGAAATAAAAAATGAAAAGAATCAAAGAGATCTCAAAACATAAAAGTAACAATGAAACTCCCTGCAATTCAGGTACTGACCCTTATTACGTATTCAGGATTCCTTTTCATGGTTTTAAACAAATAATAAATTTCAAATTCGAATTCGTTATGCCCAGTTCGTGTACATGTGTGTACATTTACAAGTAACAGGCTATCGTATAATTTCCTGGTTGTCATGGAATTCTAAGCCATGAAACAAGATGTGGAAATTTATTATAATGACGTGAAATACACCACAAGGATGATTGAAATATTTCTCTTTATGATCGCCAAATGGAACCATTCATCGCATCATAACAGAATAATGTTCTAAAACAATATAATCGTTTTTACTAAATAAAAAAATGAAAAGAAAAGTAAAAAAAAAAAAAAAAACGCTGGGCAGAAATATTATGCGAGAATGCCTACTGAATAAAAGCACCAATTTAACATAGCAATCAAGCAAAAAAAATATTAATCATTAGGTAGTGTCCTACAACAGCTGTCCAATAGCACTTACAGGCAAATAAAAGTTTATATCTTGTCTGATTTCGAGATGTACTCCTCAACGTCTGATAATAAGAATCAGTTCTATATACAAATGATTAACGATCCATTCAAGTATATACACACATTTCAATAAATACATAAAAAAGCAAGTACACTTTTCACAATCGCACGTTCGGTACGATACTAATCCAGTAGCTCCTTAACATTCTCAATGACATACACAGTATGTCGTTTTCAACAACTGACACAATCAATATTCCATTCAATACAATGTACACGTTGACATCATTCACATTCTCTAAAGTTAAATTTTGGAGAAAAAATATTTTGGAGAAGATTATTTTTTTGAAAATAATTTCGTACATTATAGCAAAACTTTAATGGAATTTAGAGATAAACAATTTAACGTATCAACAACGATACACTGTACACAACATTATACATATCACCAAACAATCGTAACCCTGAGTCGAACTTGAACCCTCCATGAGCGAACTCATCCTTGATATAAACTACAGACTTGCACAAGTCCCTACCTAAATTTATTGATATAGATATTAGATTTTAAAAAGATCCGACTAGACGAAATAAACAGTTAATTCATCTACCGACTAAGCTATCTAATGACAATGTATGTCCTTATACACCGAGAAATCGCTTGCAAAATATCTACGACAAGGAATCCAAAAACGAACAGGGCAAGGCTACTACAAGGTCTGTGACGTCAAAACTTGCGATGATGACTCAGATTAGCTATTTAAGACATCTAGTACAGAACACTTGAACTTAAAACTAATATTAAAATCGGAGATTGTGAATACGGCGATGTCGCCTTCCATCTATGTAACTTTCCAGAGTGTATATACTCAACCTGAAAGCATCTCGTATAGACATGACCTATGACACATCATGGACAATCATTGGCTCGACTGTAACAATGACCTATGAATTCCAACTGAACATTTTCATTGTGATTCGCATGAATGACTTAAAGTGTATGTTTGTACGTTGCCCTTGGTAACTAGATGTTATGAGGCATCATCACTGTTCCTTTATACTTGTTATCAATTAGATTCACGCTGCGTGACAAATCGACACCATAATAACATAGTGATTACAGAAAAGGTGATACTAACAAAAATATATCAATGACTGACAAGAAACGGATTCGCTGTAAGGTCTATCGTTATGTAAAGTAACATAAAATAATCTTTCTTCAAATCAAAAACGAGTTGCAGCCATATATTGTCATGATAAAAGGTTTCACTTTCTTCAAAATTTCATGTCTTGCGATGTTTCGACGTCTTTTCTATTAAAAAATATTGAAAAAGCGATAAAAACATATGTTAATGCACGGAATATAGTATATCTCTTCAACTGACTTTCTACGAGTAAAAGTCTAGGAAACACGTTTAAAAGATGAGAACAATAATAATATACCCTTATTGTTAAATTTATGTTTTAAACAGTGGCTTTCTCGGCCTTGTCTTCAATAGGCGGCCTGTGTTTAGTGATGACTTCCTGGAGGATGTACAGGCCAATAGATAGTATGCACAGTACAACCATCAATGCAATCTTGGTCATCATACACAAGGACGTGGCCAGACCAAACCACAGGGCTCCACCAAGGCCCTGGACAATCCGTTGAGCCGCGAAGGCTTCCTCAATACAGTCTGGAAATACCTCACTGATCAGACCTACAAACACAAGTGTATCAGTACCTTAGACAACCAGATAAGTTTGCCAACACAACACATTAAAATTATTGAAACGTTGGATTAATGCCTCAGGAAAACCAATGGTATTTAAAAAAAAAGAAACTTCACTTACTGCTCACTTGCGAGATCCAAATACCATCCCCCAGGCCCCAGCAACCAACCAAGATAAAGTAGAATATCATGCCATTGTCACGTGGTACCCAGAGCGACATCACAAGAAGAAGGATCAGGTTCAATATGGCAGCTAAAATGAATTGAAATATTGAAATCTTAATTTCGTTTGTATCTCTGATGTTTAGGGTGCCGAAACTGGAACCATTCACACGAAATAAAAAATGGAAAAGAAACAACGTACACGGAAACATGATTCCACTGTCGACACCTGGGTAATATTGGAGGACGAGGAGAAAATTCGGCAGAGAGAATGCCAAAAATGGAGTGCCATTGACCATAGCATGGGATTGCAGATGGTCAAGAGTCCTCCGAGAAAAGGTTTACACTCACCTAGCGGCTGTACCAAACCAAATAAATGGTCATTCCTGTCCGAATTCATGCAGGAACTTTCAATTGTTCTCTCCTGTTCGACTAAGTCGAAATGTCCAGTCGGAAAAGAACATGATGCTACTTTTTTTTCTCAACGGTATCAGGTGAAAACTCAACTGAGTTTGTGATCATCTCTGGACTCAAGCGGTAACGCTTTGGTTCGGCACTTCCCAGTAGGCAACTGGAATTTAACTTAAGTGCTAGTCGCGGAAACTGAAATAATAAGTTAACACGAATCAGTGAACAGGTGAACGGGTTCCTACACCTGTCGTCTGGACAACGGCCCAACCAGGACTAGTGGTCTGTGTCGCCAGGCCGCGGCATTTGGAAGAAGCTAGAAATAAACGACAAAGGATTTGTGATCGTGTAGGATGGGGGACAAGTTGGTATTAACGAAAACAGGCGATGTTAGTTTAACATGAACTGATTTAGTGATCCGTAAATCAATGACAATAAACTGGTATAAGCTTTCTGAACACGGAACAAGGGAAGGTTGTCACTTGGTCTAAGTTAGGTATATTAAACTCGTTTATTCGTACAAATATATAAATAACCGTAATATCAAATTAGATCAAATTTGTCATTACAAGATAAAACCCCAAATCCTTTGTTTTAAAATGAATTTAATTTTTGCATATAATGATATTTTTTTTTTTAAAGTATCAACCTTCATTGGTATGAAAGGGTTGGACAGCACACAAGACACACAGGCACACAGCCTTAATTACACTCAAAACAATTAAACATCCTGAAAAAAGAACTGAAAGGCAAAAATTGAAAAAAAAACCCTGAAAAAGTAAAACAAAGCTGAAAACAAAGTCCTGAAAAGAAAACATCTGAAAAGAAAACAAAGCAACATATTGAATTAGAAAATTATCGATGATTGACAAAGTGATCAATAAGTCCTAACTATATAAATACACGGCTTACCTGCTGTCAAAAGCCAGACGTGTCCCACGTGTTTGTTGATGTAACCACTGACGTAGGAGCTGAGACCTCCACAGACGCCAAAACAGATCATGGTGTATCCGACCATGTGTATACCGAGTGGACAGGTCACGAATGCCTGGAAAATAAATAAGCGACAAATGAATTTAATAAAACAGCACGCAAAAGTAACCTAACAAACTTGAAAACTTCGGGTATGACTTTATCACACGATCGAGGAAGATGACCATTGTTCGTTGAATACAAAGTAAGAAAACTGTTGTGTGCTTCCTCAGTGCACTTGTTTAATTGTCCATTGAAATAATTTACTACATAATTAAGTATTACAAACGAATGTTACCTTGGTAACGTCTCCGGTAACGAAGCCATTTTGAACGCTACTGTACATGAAGGCCAGAAACAGCATAAGGAAGCGACGATCTAAGGTACACTTGAGGACGGACGTAAACTGTTTGCAGACCAAGGAAATGTTCGCATGGGTTGTCCTGTAGGGCTTTAGAGCGCTCAACAAGTAGATTGGAACAACAACAGAAAATGCAGCACACAGACCAAATATTCCCATCAACATATACTTAGTTTCATCCTTCACGAACATATTTGGCAGTACTAAATTATCGGAATGGCAGTATTTGCTACCACATACACCAGGGGTAGTTTCTTGGGAGGAATGAAGATTGTTGTCCACAAGTTCATTGTGTGATTGATTGAAAGACGAATACATGTAAACTTTTTCGGTGAGGTTGTGTGTGGCCAGAACTTGAGCGTCGTTGTTACGTCCCAACATCAGAACAACAGATGATATGAGGTTTCCAACTACCATGGAAAACTGGTAGAAGAAGAAAAGGATCCCAAAATACTTACTGGCAACGTGAACCGTGCGGTCATCATTTTTGAGTGCGTATGAGCGTGCCAGATATGTGACATAGGTACTAATGGCATTCCACAAGATAGCATTTCCGATACCCTGAAGGAAAGCCATTGTGACTAGGATTTGAAAGGTTGGATAAAGATTCGCCACCACGTATAAAACTTGTGGTAGGAGACCGATCACCAGACAACGTTTGGGACGGAACCTTTGAACAATAAATGGAGTAAAGAGACTGAAAACTGTGAAACTACAATAGCTTGCCGCCAGAGAGTACAAACCAACGCTGTCACTGTGGTTGAGACTGCTCTGCAAGTTCTTCAGTGAAACAATCGCCGTAGCCATCAGAAACACGGTGATACCCAGAAACACCAGGTTATTCATATGGTGATTAATGGAATTGAAATCGCCTTGATCTTCCCCGTCTTTATCTGTCGGAGTGACGTCATCGTACTTATCGGGGTCATTAGGGACATCTATCGTTTTCTTCGGCACAATCTCCTGACTAAGGGTCAAGACAGCGTTACGGCACGCCCTAGCTAGCCTCCGTCGGTCAGTTGTCGGACAGTTAACAGAGTCAATGTAGGCCGGACTTTCCAGCAACCCCACCATAGTGTTGGAACGAGATCGGTACTGGTCGACATTGGCAAGGTCCTGGAAATCATTGTATTCATACACAACCTGTATGAATGGGATATCCAGAATGGTAGGTTTTTCTTGAAGGGTGACGTTACTTCCGGCCTGTCCATTTAGAAGCGCAGATCTGCTGTCGGTACTCGTAATTGAATCGTTGTAAGAGGAGCTCTCCATGCTTTGTTCAACGTCAGTGGTCCATGATGTTTCAGTGTTAACACAATCCTTGGGCTTCTTGTCTGTCAATACCTCAGCTCGGTCCCCTTCCTCTGTCACATCAGGATGTACAATTTGTGTGTTTTCGCCGGATGCCAAACACGGACCAGGGTCATCTTCGGGGGGCCCTAAGTAACATTTAATATTGTTACAATAACATTTCATAACTATATTGACAAACATATATATACATATTACAACTGGTATTTAATAATGTTCATCAATAGTTAAAACAGTACCGAAGAAACACAAATGATCAGCACATTTCAATACAAATTTGAAGTGGATAGTTGAGCCAGATATTTTAACAGCATCATACAGCTGTTTCGTCAGTGACGCTAAGGACACATATTGTTGAGACCTATCAACAAAGGAAAAGCCAAATTTGTGCATATAAATGTAGGACAGAACTATCAGGCACATCTGAAAACTATATTTATTTAAAAATGACTCCCGACATATTTTTCTTATGGTAATTAATTATTGTTTGTTAGGTAGTAGGTACATTGGATATTATCGATCCTACAGGTAAACAAATATTTCCGACATATGTTATGCCGGATGATGTCGAAAATAGCTGTTGTCTATCGCTGAATTGAATTTTTGAAATTAAGTCACTTAGTTTGTAACTTCACCTGAAGCTCGTGAACACTTCTAATACAACGGGGATTTTTTTTCTATTATAATTATGAACTGCTGGTATCATTGCAAGCAGGAAGAATCGAATGGATATGGTGTCTTGCGTGATATCTACAAAATACCTCGCTACTTAAACGATATACATGTACTAACTCTCTATAAATTGACCAGGGTTCTCCATGTCTTCATTACTCATGATGCCGACTCGTTATCTGGTGTAAGGCTCCGTGTGTATCTGTCGCCTGCAAAAATCAATAGACTATATTTAGAAGTATATGCACTGTGCCAGGCCGAGACGTTAATGAAACAGCAGCTGACTGAAACACGTTATATAGATATTAAGCGGAATGTGGCCTCAATGTACGTTACACAGGTTCATGTGATCCACGCCACAAATAGCTATGTAGTTTAGACTGCATCAAAGGTTATAGTCAAATGTTATCATAATAAATTCCCATCCTTGTTTCCTTTGTTTATGGGAATTGAAATAGTTTTGATCAATGCTCTGAACCTATGTCAGTTATTTCAGTGTCCTGTCATATGTTTATGTACAAAAATGAAAACGAAAAATCAAAATTATATCACAGTATGTATCAAAATCAAAACCATATAAAAAAAGTATATAGATCATACACTTAAATACGCCGGAGAATTACAGTAAAATTATGTATGCATTGCTTCCTTCCATATAAATATTTAACAGGCTTTCGTTTGATATCCAAGGGCATAAATCCGTATCACTTTAACACAACTCCATCAACGTTACTCATCATCATTTCAAAACCACTGCATCTTTGTCATGCCCATATGTCAATATCACACATCTGCATTGCATCAGGGCCACATACGTGTTACTGACACACCTGTAACATTGTTACACATCTATATCCTTGTTCAATAAGACCTGTATTGCTGTCACACACTGTTAAGTTATACTAGCTGTATCTCGTCACATAAAAGTTATACACCTGTATGGTTACCTGATTTCTCGACTCACAGATATGACTCAACGTAGTCTTACATTAACACTGTTTTACTACCTCCACAATGCACATACATTTATAATCATACCCGCTCACGCAGTTAGCATCAGGTTTGTTGTGGCTTGTCTGGAGACAATGATTGTAATATATATGTTAATAGCTATCATTGTCAAAAGGCAATGATTGTATGACGTGTATTCACTCGTCAAAAGACATTTAAATCTCACTGGTATTTTTTTAGGACTGATCATGTGTTTGAGCCAGCAAAGGTTACTCAGCGGTCAAACACCCTTTAACAATGAAGACGTGACGTTAGTTTTTATTTTGACCGCCACATGACCTAGACCCATTGCTTAAAACATATTACACATTACACACTGTACAGTATCCTATATACCTTATTACTACAGCAAGTATTGAGATCAGTCATAATTGTCTCGCACTTTAGAGCTAACCCGCAACATAAATGTAAAATCAGATGATAAAAGCGCTGTATTGGAGCCAGGTTATATATAGATTTGGATGTAAACAATGGCGCGTGTGTTTAAGGCCTTCGTAGAGACAAGGCATAAATAACAGATGAAACTTTATCAATATGAAATGTTAACAAATTGGCATATAATGTAAATGTATTAATAAGATTTACCTGCTTTAGACTCGTTGTGTCTGCTCTGTCGATGTTTTTTCTTATACACCGCAACGTTCCACGGAATATGAACTAGCAATGCAAACAAAATGATTCTGGTACACATGCGCAGTTACATTTAACGGTTACACGGGCGAGGTGATATCTGTACAGCCAGACATACTACCTATTGATTTAGTAAAGTCTTGTGCTGCAGCCCAGAGTCACGAACCTGCTTGTGAGACTGCAGTAGGACAAATCTTGTATATATTAACATGATTCATACTGCGACGGTTTAATTTCTGTTAGATACCCTAACCTGTCCACCCCTATATATAGTAAACGATTCCCTCCGGATCTGAATAAATTTGCATGCGTGAATTATTGTTTGAAAACCACAACATGCCGGTTTCAGCTGGTTTGGACGGCTCCTAGTCATCGATTTCTATAGTTCGTTTGTTCATTGCTAGTCAAGTGGGAGGAAACAGTACGGATACGATATTTCCAACTATTGTCTGTACAGTATTTAACAGCCATCTAACTTTAGACATGATATATAGATTCCATATAACACTCTTTTAATATGAAATGAAATAAAAATAAATGATAACACTGCCAACATCATCTGGAAATATGCTTGATATTACATAATCTCAAATAAATGTTGAAATTTATTTAATATTAATAGTGTACACAGATAAAACAAAACCAGAAATATCACAAAACCACATACCACATTATGCAATGTAAAAGTCGTTACAGTAAAATCGACACACACATTTTCATGAAATGATGAAACGGAAATACCGAGCAGGATGTATTTAAATCGTGCTGATGTAATAGATAAAAGTTTAAAGATCAAGGACCATGTGGCAAATTATAAAGACAAGGATACAAAAAGGTATGGAAGCTACACGACGCCATTCTGACTCATCATTCAAAAATAAATATTCTATTCAATTTAAATGAAACAAGTTACTTTAAAGCTCAAATACTTCCCACTGGGAATACTTTATCTATTCGTAGTGGGCTTACAAAGGAAAATTTAACATGGTTTATAAATATTTATACAAAAATATTTCTTGATTTTAAAGGAAATTACGGGAAATTCTACCGTCTTCAATTTCTCAGTTTTAAATGTTCTGTCTCTAAACTTCTACTTCTCCCAATTCTACATTGTGCTACATGTAGGTGTTGGTGGATAATATTAATTCCAAGACATATTAAAGCCCCAATATACGTAACATTCACCAAAAATTTAGTGTAGAATTACACATAATTATTGAGATATTCTCTAAGATGTAGTTACAATTAAGTTATTCAAACAATAGTTACAATGACTTTGTGCATAAAGTATTGATATATGAGTAGTTGAAACTCGCTATTTGTAAACACGCCTCCATTTTAAACTCGCCGCCATCGAAATTACGATTGTTGTCGTTCACGTCGGAAAGTTCATGACCTGATCTCGCGAGAGTTGAAGTTTCTACTTATAGAGGAAGCACATGCAGATATGTCTACGGTAAGTTTTTGTTTACAAACATTGTTTGCAAAGTCTTGTCGTAGATTTGAGGTATTCCTGTGATAAACATTCAGTTTTTTGGGAAATTATTAGAAGGAATAATTAGTTTTGAAACGATACGACGCACAATTATAACGTAAGAATTCAGAACTGGCCTGATGTATGATTGGAAAGAAAGGAAGCGACTGGTGGACGTCTGTACTGTGTCTGCCATGTTTACACGCGGAATATACGCATGCGCAATGTTATCGCTACGAGCGGTAATATATGAATTATTGTGGGTCCCACATTGTTTATTTTCCGATTTTTTCAATTTTTATTTAAATTGAAAACAGTCAGTTTTATTTTGTTTAATTAAAGGAAAGTATTTGTTTTGTTACATATATTACGGGGAAAATAAGATAAAGTTTGTTTTTTTATTGTGATTTTGACGTATATTGGGGCTTTAAGACAGATGACAGGGAACAAACTTTCAAACATCGATTATCAACATTTTCCCAGTAGTTATATCTGTTCGCTGCTCGCCAGAACGCCTAGAGCGTTCAATACTTCTAATGAAACAGTTGTCATTTTGAGAACGTGACATTACTTGGATTAATTTGTCGGGTACCGTGAACTAAGTGAAACAGACTACGTGTCTAGAACACATTGTGTAATTTCCTGACACTATCCACGAGTTTACATTAAAATTGAATTCCTGTTATAAAAATACAATTACATAATATTACATGTCTCGAATCTCATTAGATTTAAAATATTATACATCACGTACTTACTGAGAGCGTTTAAACATGTTACGCATTTATATCCGGAATGGCTATATTAAGCTGGCTTTTTAAAACTGAAATGGAAGAATAAAAATTACTCTGCAGCATATTTGTTTTTTCAATTGATATAAAAATCCTAATTTACTGTTTATTTCGGTAGATTTTAATTTCTAAATAATCTCTTTCAGACTTTCCATACTTTGGCAACTACACTGTTGCGTCATCGTGGAGTCATTAATACTGAAAAACAGTAGCTTTGACCATTATTTCGCATAAACTTTAGCTAGTGCTAATTCCGAATAGTGTTTCTTGTATTTGTATGGTGGTGAACTTTGGGTTTTAGTACCCGTGGTGTTTTAGCCTGTAGTCCGTGTCTATGTTATCGGCGAAGATTCAGAACGAATTCCGGTTAACTTCAGTTGCGGGGACAATGTGTTTTCGATGAAGCAGAAGACGCTTACTCTTCCTGAACAGGAACTTTCAGGACTCTCCTCATGGCTTTTCTTTTGTTCATATTTCGCCCTTGTTTTTTTTTTTTTTTTTATCATATTTGAGTTTGGATTAAAAAATATGTTGATATGTCGGTATTTTCGTTTTTTTTTCTCATCAGACACATTGCTTCACCTTATTATGGATATAAATAAATTTAACAGAATCTATGCCTTACATATGTAGATGCAACTGATAGACAATCATTCTTGACTATTACAAATCTTCTTTATCGCAGATATTTTTGTATTTCTGGTGTGATGTTCTGACATTATGCCATTTCACTATCATGTCATATCCTAGCCATACTGGCAGGGCATCCATACCATTATGTTGTCTTAAACATCTCATTTAGTGCTGATCAACCTGTAGGGGACATAAAACACCAGTTTTAATAATACTGTTGACGATAATAAATGTGAAAGACTGACAGTTGGCGGTAAAGGGTGATATCAAGTCGAGAGTTTACAATTTTTATTGCTTGTGTCACTTAAAGCTAAGCTAAGATAAGAATTATCTCCTAGTGGTGCACATCGCACCTTGCGAAACATTTTACCAAATTATGGTTATTTTAATTTTCGAGTACTTTAAACCATAACATATAAGTGAATCATGCTCGAAAATCGTTGTCTCCAAGACATATGCTTTGCCAAAAATTCTCACCAGGAACATCAATGCATTTGCAGTTGAATTTATTAAATGCCAAACGTCTCTCGCGTATGTTGCACCATTTTCTTTATTAAAGTTTGACCGCCAGCATAGTTAACATGTAGACACATACTGATAAAGACGCTTATCTCGAGAAATATCTTGAACCACCAGGTTATCTATATTACATGTCGAACCGCTGTATAGCGTAAACAAAATTAAATATCAAAAGAAAATCAATATAGCGAAATATAGCGAATATTTTTGCAAGAAAATTCCCGATAAAATATTTCAGCGAGAAACAATTAAATGAAAACGTTTGTAATATCCTTGGTGGTGAAACTACGCTACACAAACGACGCCTTACATACTTAGTCGACTTACGATAAAAATAACTACTGTGGCTTGAACGGAGTCACGTAGAGTGGTGTACAGCACGATTCTCCCTAAAGCACGTTTATATTACTTTGTTAATCGGTATTACACATGTATATAGACGAACGTGACCTTGACCTCTGAATGTACAACGTTTGCCAGAATAAAAAAAATAACAATTAAAAATGAATTCGTACAGGCCATGTCGATGGCTTCTGTGGAGTGATTGACAGGAATGAACGCATACTAGTGATAAGAATTTGTAGTTTTAACAAAGGACTATTCTAATTCTCTAAAGCGGACATCAAAAGTCTAATAGGCTTACATTAATTAAATAGCCAATGATATATATACATTCCTTATATAGAATACATCAGGAGTTCAAGCTAAGGTCAATAAGTAATTAAGTGGCAGAGGGATGCAGCAGGGTTCATTGCTGAGCCCTCATATTATGATACCTAAATATCCTTGTTATTTATTATTACTTTAGCGGTAGCGGAATAAAGCAACGATGAAGTAGGCGAAGTCAACATATGGGACGTTTTCACATTAAAACCTTTACGTTTGGATGTAAAGCTGCATGGGTTTGTTTTTATAAAGATAAACATGCTGTCCACAGTTTTTGTCGTGTATGGAGAGTCTCTCAGTGTATGTGAAATATCTGTTATTGCATTGAACTCGTCTTTATTGAGGCTCTGATATACGTGTGTAACCCTCTTTGAGTTGAACTATTACTGACTTATAGTGCTGTCATATCGAAGTGTATTGCACAAAGGCTTCCAGCAGGACGTATCGCCCAGTCACAAACTGATAAAGTGCGGACTAGTCTTTACACTACCGTAGTGTGTAAAACAGAAAATATTTACTACCTTTTTGTTGACTTTTGTATGTTATTGCTAAAAGTAGAGGTCTTATGCAAAGGGATATGTGTTAGAGTAGATGCAAAAAATATAAGTCAGAGTCAAGGAAGACGATAAGGAAAAATCCTTGTTTAGAATGAAAAAGAGAAAGAACTATAGCCGCAATTTAGTCACATCGTACGATTATTACCCTCTACCTGCACGGCTGTGAAAACTGCCGACATGTCTTAATTGCTTTTTCGTATTTGGCGACAGATATATTATTTCTTTGACATTGAACATCACAACAATAAAAAGGTGTTTTCCTATCTAAGCTGTTGTTAATACATATAGATTGTAACGGAGTGTTTCGTGTTTGAAAGTAGTAACTAGCTTTTTAAGTCGATAAGGAGAACAAGATTCTATATCTTGATTTGTAATTATGCAGCTGTCTAGGGTTTGGTTTAGATTGATTAACCTCCTAT